ATGCTACAACTAAATCTTCCTATTCTCCTCTAAGAATATGAAGGCATTATAATTTTAAAAGCTTATAACCGCACTGATCCATCTACTTTTAGGAAATTTTAAGGTAGAATAGTTATCATAATAATGTAATACATTCTTATTTCTTTCTTTATTAACTAAATATAGACATAAATATTTCTTGCTACAATAGATCGTTCAGAAGATCATGATCATGCTTAACAATAAATAGAGTAGAAATATATCTTGTATTATAGTAGAATGATCGCAAGGACAATAAAATTTGGCTGCAAATATTGCTGATCCACTATTCAAGATAGAACAATTACAACAGCACTGTTACAGATTCTACTTTCTACCTTTGACTAACAAAAGTTGACATAAGTTTTTCTAGCTAGATAATTCAAAAGATCATGATCAGGATTGAGAATAGAAAGAGTTAAAATATTTCTTGCAGGAAAATTATCGTATGGAAAATAAAATGTAGCTGCAAGTAGTCTGATCAAATTGACATTGGTTGAGATAAACTATGATATTTGCATACAAAATTAGTAACTCTAATGTCCTACCGTTTAAGATAAACTATTAAATTGCACCAGGTTAGGCAGACATTAACGCTACCTATAGCCCACTGGCCAGAATCAGGTTCTCTTCCAGGTGGAAAAGAAAACGTAATAGCAGAAATGTACATAAATAATTCAATGTAATTTGTAAGGGAGAGGAAGTAGGATAGTCTCTGCCAAGTAAATTAAGACCAGAAAGTTAATTTAAATCCATATTTTAATATAATTTCATAGCGTTAGGAAAAGCTTTAGAAAAGACTGCCAGTAATTTAAAAAATAATCATCCATATGTTCTCAACTCTCCATCAATAATCTACTCTCTTTATTTAGATTTCTTACCGACGCAGAAAAGCTTTGGTAAAATTAAAACTGATAAATTAACTCTATAAAATACCTGACTCCATATTTGGAAAGCTTCTGTTATTAAATTAACTATAGTAAAGATAAAGATAATTAGTTGAGCAAGGAAGAGATCCGGCCGTGTAAACTAGAATAGAAGTATAAAACAACATGATTAATAAAATAATGCAATTGTAACGGTACGAACCACCGTGAAGAGTAAATGACTAAATTTAGTGTTTAAATTTTATATACGGAGATAACTAAAAATGACTTCCAGTAAGAATTGCGTAGTTATTATTTTGTTAAAGTAAATTATGTTGTATGGTAGTAGGAGTTCTCATAAGGTAACTAATATTAATTGATTATAGTGTTATGTCTTGTAACGCTTGTGATGAATATCCTGAAGATATTCAATTGTAGATAATACTATACATAATTCTGTGTGTGGACATACTGTAGTCTAATTATCTAGAATCGTTCATTATATGTCCAAAATTAAGAATAATGTCTGCATTAATTTAGCTATCCAATATGAGCTAAATTTAACGAACTATTATGACTCATACATGATAGCTGCTGCCGAAGAGTATTTAAGCTCTGCAGATAGTTGAATAAAGGAAGAGTTTTATAGTTGTTTTAACGTAGAAGCAAGGCGTCTCAATTCTTGTGAGGTAGTTAAGGGATACTGAATTCCGGAGACTATAGTAATTTAGAGATTTGTTTTACGTTATCTTTGTCACAAAGCTGGTTTGTGACAGCAAACTATTCTATATTGCATTAACCGGAGTAATTGGGCATGGAAAATCATTTTATCAATTTTGCTTATAGCAGCAGACTTACAATTGTATAGTAATGGTATGTAAATGTTTGATTTCCGCTAACATACGAATGTGAAGCAAAACCAGAAGAGTTCCGTACGGATGTAGTAATATTGCCAGGTGGACGCAAAGCGATAATGTAATAGGTTAAAGCACCCACAAAAAAAAGGTAAAGAATAAGATTGGTAAAATAAAGTGGAGCACCAAATGTTCGCCTATCGATTTGGACAGAAAAAATAAATCATTAAGAACAGTTGTAATAGATGTGGATAAAAACTTGCTAAGGCCATTTTTAAATGTTCAAAATTTAATTTTATAAACTCTGTCGATAAATCGAACATCTAGATTGGATCAAAACGTTATCATTATTTAACATTAATATATAATCCTAGGTAGGATGTGGCACTATAATGAGAAATGTCACTGCCAATGCATACCATTTAGCATCAAGTAAAGCCTGAGATAATTCATGAAGTAGCAATCCTGTTCTTTCATGTTCAATCATATTCTAGTTGTTAAGAATTATTGATGTATCTCTTAAGAGCTTCAAATTAGACAGTGTATACTAGCTTCTGAATACATCATCGACTCCATTGGAAATCTCATAATCAAAATCAGATTTAACGACACCCTTACCATTAATGCATTACATCTAGAATTTTCTTCTAAGTTTTTTTTTAAACGCCTTTCATTCCTTGGTCCTGGATCTAATAATGAGTAATCGTAAACAATCTAGAAAAATGAGGAAATAAATCGCCGAAAAATTTTATTCGATTTGTGAATCTTTTACTTGCTACAAATACTTTCTAGTATCTTTAATTATTAGAGATCGATATAGAATATTTAAGTCTTGCTGAGTCGTTTTATAACTAAATATCAATTCAATGATGGAGAGGTTATCCGTCAGATCAACTAACGAACCCGTATGTTGCAATTTATAATTGTATTATGATTATTATTCACTTATATATTTAGACAGCGAATACATACAAGAGGAAAATACTTGACTACCTTTGTAAAATCATATAATAGAGTCGAAGTAAACTAATCCAGCCGGTATATTTACAAAATTTTATCCATTTACATCGGAATTTTATGTACTAAAATCCATCATAAGTCAATACTGTAGTGCATTATCTGCAATGAAATTTCGTCGTGACCACGATAGTTTCATGATTTTATTTTAACATCGACTTGCCGACATAAATTTGCAATCATTGATGAGATTTCAGTTCAAAATAGCTAACAAAATTAAATATACAAACCATTTTATCCATGCTTCCACTTGCACTCCTTGCAATAGATAAGTCCATGACAATCTGGCACAAAAACGAAAGTAAGGATGAAATTTATCGGATGGACGTGGTAAATTAATATTAATAATATAAGGCACTTAATAAGTAACGAAAAATTTACCTTTGCAACGTCAGGTAGGTTCTTAATTAAATTTTGCATGACAGAATAACCTTTAGCATCGAATCGATTTAAAATCTCGCCGCTCCTAATAAGACAAACCAATGTCATGACCAATTACAAAAAAACTGTATTAAGCATTAAAAGCCATGTTAGAATACTAACAGGATGATCTCTGCTTTGTCTTTTTTATAACAATTTGTCTTTTATATTATGACTTAATTCGATACAGGAATACATTACCTCTTGTGCTTCACAATTGATAGAGCAGCATCTTTGTATCTGCCTTCAATTGCAAGATCCAAGCAGGTTTTATCGTCAATGTTACGTAGTGTGATATCACTACCACTTTCAAGCAATAATTTAATAATAGCACTTGCTCCTTGACTGGCTGCTAAATGTAGAGGTGTTTCCTAAATTGGATTCATAAAACGGAGATTTGGGTTATTATTACTTAATAAAGCAAAGAACTGATTCCAAAACTGCTTAATAGTTGAATTCTTGCACTACTAATCAAGCCAAAAGTAATTTATAAATATCAAGGAATAAGTCGATTTGCACAAAATGTAAATCAAATATCGCATAGTACCGTATAATTGCGTCATTACAGCTACATGATACTTTTAAGATGTATAGTATTACCAATCTAGAATTGATGCGATTGAGATCAGCTCCGTTTTCCAGTAGCAATTTTCCCACTTGAGTAAATCCTTTGGATGCAGCGTATTCCAAAGGTGTCATATAACTGCCATCTCTGGTAATGGTTATATTCCAAATGATAGTATTAATAGTATCGTCGATCGTATTCAACTTCATCATGATCTACACTACTTCGGTAATATAAAAACTTACAATCTACTGCTATCTCGCAACTGTTATCTCCGATACTGTAAAATCATTCAATTTATCACCTTTTATCCACATCTGCACCGTACTTTAACAGCATTGCTGTAACATCTACTGAATTACTTATAACAGCAAAATGTAACGGAGTTCTTGACTTCTCTCCCAAAGAATTAACTGATGACAAGCAAGTTTCACATAAATATTCAGCAATAAGTAAGTAGCCTTTTCTATAGAAAAATGGAGATTAATTTAAATTATTTTCTAATACCTAACTTAAATAGGATCTCAATTTCAGTTTACACCATTGCTTTTATTTAAAAGAATGATATAATTTCCACGACTTTAATCGCTACTTAAGACTAATTAGAAAGCAAATATAGCTCCATTCTATATCCTAATATCACTTCAATAGGATAAAATAAGCTTGCAAAGTTTTAATACTGATAATCTAAATTGTAATATCTAAATCTATACTAGTAAAATTGAAAGATATACTAGATGGTATACTCTTCAATACTCTAAGAATTAGCTCCTTAAATATCCAAATTAAGATGTTACTGAGATCAAATTTTGAGAAAGATGCTTGTTTAAACCATTAATATCAATTTGAATATTATTTAACTTACATACAAGCCAGATGGAGTGGTGTATTATCATCATCATCATGGCATTCCACAATTGCACCATTGCTAACTAATATCCGAGCAATCTAATAAAGCAGATACATATATGAATCTATCAAGAGTTCAAAACTGAGATGTCTGATGTTGTAAAAGTATCGTAGAGACCCCATTTCAGATATAATTTGAAATAAACTTAACCTATTACCTGATGATTTCTACTCTCAACAGCATAATGCAAAGGTGTCTTTTCAAAATTATCCACTGAATTTAAAAATTTGCCTGCAGATATCTATGTTTTTACGTGATAAAGTGTCATAGTTGTTAATACCGGTAGATCACGTAAATATGTAATAATTTAATTCACTAGCAAATTATTTTCCAAATCCAGTGGGATGGACATTGGTTTTTTTAAAACTTACTCGTAGTAAATATTGAACTAATTGTATGTGGCCATTTTGAACGGCGAAATGGAGACAATTTCGCTGCACTTCATCAACAGAAGAAATGTTTGCGTTATGTCGGAGTAAAAATTCGATTACGGCGATGTTGCCTTTAGCCGCAGCACATATTAACGGTGTCTTCTTGTTATGATCGGAAACATCTACATCGGAACCCTTAAATAAAATAAAAAATGATCATAGTCAATTTTAAATGATTTCGTGGGATAAATTATAAATACTCATGGCTATTCAGGATCTAACCGTAGAAGTATAAGGATACTAATTGCTTTTGTTCAATTAAGTTCTGTTGATGCGGTATAAGTTCTTGCTGGCTTATTCTATTACGATCAATTATAATTGATCATTTTAGAATGAGCCGGCAAATACCGGTAAGTACTAGGGTCTTTACAATCACAGTTTTTGTTAATTTAGCAATGCATTCATTTTGGACTATTATAAGTGTACAACGATAATTTTAGACTAAATTAATAATTGTCATTGCGATCAATATAGTATAATAAGCTAAATCAAAAGGAAAATTTATCGACATGTATTTACTTGTGCTTGGAACGAATGCAAATTTACATACTGGTAGTCATTTATAGTGATAATATTTGGTTAATGTTTAAGATTGACAATCTCTGATCGTAAAACATGGTAAAATAAGACTATTTTACTATTTAGTAGTAAGCTCAAGAGATCAAATGAAATCCTAGCCGTTTCCTATGAAGGAATACTAAACCAATTATATCATACTTACTAGCCCTACAAGTAATTCCATGATTGGTAAATGACCATATAAACTAGCAAGGAAAAAAGGTGTTCGATACTGGTAGTTTTGCATGCTTATTGAAGCTTCTTTATCGATCAGCAATTTAGTAGCTTCATAGTAGCCATTGGCCGCTGTAATGTGCAAGGCAGTCCATCCATCATTCTACGATATCAAGTCGAGATATTAATAGCGGCATTATCATAAAGATTTAAAAAGTAGTTAAACTAATTTAAAACCGGTTGCCTAATTTATGATAGAAGAAAATATTGATAACTCCTTTATGCACAACAAATAACTACAGAAAAGTTCATTTACTAAAGGAAATCAACTGATTTTATTTTATCAATCTTTCGTACTTTTAAGGAATTGATATGGGTTCCATTCTCTAAACAAATTTCCATAGCCTATAAGACAATTAAGATACATGGTATAGTAGATGAGTTGATGAATTGCTCTTTCACTTTTCAAACGATTAGTAGATATACTTGACGCTTCGAAAGCAATATTAGCTATCCAATGATATAATATACGGTAGATAAACTACAGATTTGTTAATTTCATTTGTTTAGATGTGAGAATGATCTATCCTCCTTTCACCTTAACATGACCACCCTGAGCTGCACGGTGGAATGGAAGTTGCTTTTCGTTATCTTGGCAATTCAGAAGATCATCAGTAGATAATCCATAGCTAGAGGAAACTTCTAAGAATAATTGAATAATTTGAGCGTGTCCTTTGGATGCTGCACTATGCATTGGCATACTACCATCGATCGCAGAGGCTAATAATTTACTTCTACACTGAAGCTGTAAGAAAAAATAGGCTAACATTAATGTTGACTTGATTTCGCTCTATATTATTGCAAGAAAGGAAGAGTTTCATGATTAAATCTGTATAAGGAATATTGCTTTTTGAATTTAAGCTCTTTTATTATTAAATAATATAACCAGAATAATGCTATGATTAAATTCAAACTAGAAATCTGAGTGAACTTATGAGAAAAAGTTATTTATTAATCAAAGAGATAAGCAAACTAGTCGGCTTACAAGAAGTTGGCAGACTTGAAGTCTCCCTCTCACAGCAGCTTGATGTAAAGGAGTATTCAAATCATCATCCACAACATTGACATCAAGTAGGTTGTGTTCAGTAATATACTAATATCAGTGTACACGTAAAGCAACAAGAGCAATCTTTCAGTATTTCATCAATGACAAGACAGCACCGAAATTAACTCATCGAATGATTGCAACGATGAAAACGAGAATGGCACAAATTCGTGTAAATGACATTTCATCGAAGTTCGAATTAAATCATCACTTACCTTGCAAATATTTAAATGGCCCAATTTACTAGCTTCATGAAGCAACGTGTCGCCTTGATCATCGACTAATTTAAATTCAGCACCAGCTTCATGTAAGACTTGAAAGCTAGCCAAGCTGTTACATTTAGCAGCCATAAATAATGGCGTATTGCCATTATAGCCTCGAATATTGATATCTAATGATAGTATAAACATGAAGGCAAAATGAATCTTTATTAGAAAATTCTGCATAGGTAATTAATGAAATGCCAATAATTTTGAACAGTATTAAGCATGGCGTAAAGTTTAGCCTTGTAATGGTTTCTGCTAATTATGTTAGTTATATCTTTTAGTAAATACAGCGATAGTATATGGTATAGAACTATATATCTAAATAAAGTATTGATTGCAACTAGTATGATGAAACGGCTCATAGTATTATGTGCTATATTTGAGCCTTTCAAATTTTAAATTGTCGGATTGTGAACCTAAGGTTAAGAACTCATACACTACAATCCTGTTGATAGTACAAATAGGTAAATCAAAACTCTACTTATTCAAGTTAGTTGATAGACGGCATTGACTACTAATAATGGATAGTACCGTTTGTTCCTGTATGGAAAACTATTCTATCTGCGTCAATGCCGAGACTAAAATATTTTTTATCGTTACTGTTACTTGTCTCCTAGTTTTGACTTAAAAAGTGTAGGAAATTTAGAATAGGGAAAAAAGATAAAGTAAAATTATGTACCTGCACCCCAAGAGATCAATGTCCTAACTACATCGACACGATTACCACGAGCAGCATAGTGCAGAGGAGCCATCTGATGTTCGTCTAGATAATTGCATACATTCTTTTCATTTTTATGTGTATTGAAATGATTTTCTACTACAGCGACATCACCAAACTTTGCAGCCTATCCGCAAGAATATTTTTCAATCACTAGGATTAAAATTTAATCTATGATGACAGCTACTGATAAGAAATCAAAATATTTTGCCAAAAGACGAGATGATATTTACAAGCACAATTATCACCAATTTAGTGTTATGATGATGAAATTATTAAATCAGTAGACGAAATTACGCTTATCTTAAATTATTTAATTATAAGGGATATGATTTGTACTGACTATTAAATACTAAGTATCAACTCTATTCTACTGAGTTGCACCACTTTAGATAAAAATCATTATTTTACTCGTCTATACTTACCCAAAAGAGATCTTTTAAATATTCTGTTTCTAAACGTTTGGCATCATTAAGGTTGTTAGCTTGATCCTAACCAATACATTATTAAAAGGAAGTTATTCAATGAGAAAATACTTCAATTCTTAGGCAACTTGAAATATGAAAGTTTATTATATTTTGGTAGCAAAACCAGTTAATTGTATAGGCTTACTTTGATTAGGAAAGGAGCGAAATTTTACTAATTACATACGTTATAAAAATTTACTATTAGAAGACGATTATGAAACGACTGAAAATAGGATCTATCAGTTTCGTGTGTTTCTTCCTCTGAAAAGCACCGACTTTATTTAACGCTAACATAATTCGTTACTAAATAAAATTTTTACCCTCACTTCATAGCAGCTCAATACTGTAATCTCGTCATAACTAGTTTATAATTTAATGCTAATGTAAAAGTAAAGCCAAATCTAATATTACATGTTTTGATAACACTGTTTGCACTAGTATTCATACGAAAGCAATCTCGTTGACATGCTTGTATGGCAAAGAAATCACTTTAACGACATTAAAATGGAAGAAAAAATATCTCTAATTCGTCTAATTTTTTATGTCTTTTACCATTTCCCTTATATCAACCGCAAGAGGAAGCTGAGCGGCTATGCGTCTACGAAATCTTCTCATGGTGTTAGCTCTACTTTTAAAAATCGGTTGGAGCAAGTTGTGGGAAGTGTTGGTGAGTAATCTTCTTAATGCTTGAATCAAATGGCGCTTTAAACTCCGCCACCAGCTCTGCTCAGAATCAGAGTAACTTACTAGTTAGCAAGAAAAATTAATTCGAAATAGTATTTCGTTTTAATTGACTGAACTTCACTTTGAGTAATGCTTAGAGTTTAGGATTACAAATACAATAGCTGCCATGAATTTAATATTTTATAGTATTCCTACTGCTACTTTTGATATTATAATGATTGAATTGTAGGTGAAATTAGGTTAATAACTGATGGTAAATGTTACCTGTTTGGGTATAACTATAGCAGCTCATTATACGACCGTTATAGGATACAAGCATTTGATACAAAATAAATATCGTTTAAATTTATTGAATACGTCATAGCTGAAATTTGCGTAATAATAACTTTACAATTTTAAGTTTGTAAATAATCATACAATTCCTTAGCAACGTTACATGATTTGGTAATTAGCTTCTCATAATGAATGGCGCTGATTAAGCAATAGAAACTTAATAAAGGAAATAATTGATAATTAGTCGATAGGGATAAAATTATTCATGCTATCTGCCTAAAACTGCAATTCGAAGCACTGATTTGTTTTATCACAGAAATAAATGTTGCATTTCTTTATATCTTAGTGATAGAATAAGATTTTAACATGTTTAACATGTTTATGCAAAGGCATGCTATCTTAAATTTCAATATTCTCAAATAGATTTCCGTAGAACGGATACAATTTTTCTGAAGTTAATGTTGAGACAATGAACTTTAAAAAAGAATGGTTTCGATTTAGTCTATGCGTATTTCCCAAAATAAAGTTCTTGATTTCTATCAGTTAAAAGATAATTTATCACTCACATTGAATACTTTTTCTGAGTTTGAAATAAATGTCTAGACAATACTATAAATTGTCATCGATCTACTTCATTTAATCTGTTATTCACAGCCAAAGCTTTATTTCTCTATTTCTTTACTTTTAAGATGTTTTGTAGCCGGTAACTTACACTCGAGCTCTATTAGCTTGATTAAATTAAAAGACGTTTTTCCACCAAATTATATCCAAATAAGTAATAAATAGCGAAGGTGTAAAGTTGCAATGTTGCATCTATAAATAGCTAATTGCTTCAC